GGTGTGGCGCTGTAGGATTACCACTGGAATGTGAACCACAAGGTCAGCTGTTCAAATCTGCCAATTCCTCCTTGGAAAACCTTTGTTGGGTTGCTGGGAGTCAAAATCATCTTGACAGCACTTAATAATAACACCCTGGCCTGAATGAAAGTCGAGCCAGATTCTGAAGAAGACATAGAATGAGAGATTATCATTGCTGACATCAGATGGGTCTTGGCTGAAAGCACAGAATACCTATGTAGGATTGCTATGCAGGGTCCCTGTGGTTTATTGACTATGGTAAGGCTTTTGACTGTGTGGATCATGATATGCTATGGATAACATTATGAAGAATGGGTATTCTAGAACACTTAATTGTGCTCATGAGGAACATGCACATAGACAGTTGTTAGAACAAGACGATACTAAATGGTTTAAAATCAGGAAGTCATGTGCCAGGGTTCTATCCTTGCACCATATTTATTCAATCTGTATACTGAGCAAATAATCTGAGAAACTGATTATATGAAGAAGAACATGGCATGAGGATTGGAGGAAGATTCATTAACATCATATGATATGCAAATGATACAACCTGTTTGCTGGAAGCAAAGAGGACTTAAATACTTACAGTACAGATGAAAATAAAGACTAAATAGTCTTCAGTTAATATGGATTTCACCTCAATGTAAAGAAAACAAAAATCCTCACAACAGGACCAATTAAAAATATCATGATAAATGGAGAAAATATTGAAGTTGTCAAAGATTTCATTCTGCTTGTATCTAGAATCAGTGCTCCTGGAAGCAACAGTCAAAAACTCAAATGACAAATTGCATAGGCAAATCTGTTGCAAAAGACCTCTCTGAAGTGTTCAAGAGCAAAGATGTCAGTTTGAGGACTAAGGTGCGCCTGACCCAAGCCATGGTATTTTCAATCACCTCATATGCATGGATGAGTTGGACAATGTATAAGGGAGACCATAGAAGAATTGATGGGACTGAGTTATGGTGTTGGAGGAGAATGTTAAAAGTACCGTGGACTTCAGAAGAACAAACAGGTCTGTCTTAGAGGAAGTGCAGCCATAATGCTCCTTGGAAACCAAGATGGCAAGACTTCGCCTCTCAAACTTTGGACATGTTATCGGGAGAGACCAGTCAGTCCCTGAAAAAGGATATCATTCTTCATAAAATGGAGGGTCAACAAAGGAGAGGAAGCCCCTCACAGTCCCTCCATGGGAGAAAGATGAACCTTCTCCCATAGAGACGTACAGTATCAGAAAGCTTATAGAGCAGTTCTGTACTGCACTGCAAACCTGATGGCAGGGGGTGGGGTTGGGGTTTGGGACCTCAGTCTGGACCCTAGTCACTCAGCTGGTCATTCTCTAACCACCTTCAACGTAATAGGGTCCATAGGTTGTTGCTGTTGAACTGATGACCTTATACAGAGTCCCTGTGTAGCATTGTGGGTTATGTGCTGGACTGCTAAGTCAGTTTGAACTGTAAGGTCGGTGGTTCAAGCTCATCAGTTGCTCCTTGGGAACCGACACGATGGCACTCAACAACAACAACAACATAGAACAAAACGTTGCCCCCACTCTTGTGCCATCTTCATGTTTGCATTCATTGCTTTGGTTATTGTCTCAGCCATCTCATTAAGGGTTTCCCTGGTCTTCACTGACCTTACCAACCGTGATAGCCTTGTATTACCCTCCAAAAGCAAGTCAGGAGGCTGCTCTGGACATAAACAAGTCCCAATTCTCCAGCATAGTTTTGATGATTCCCCACTACCCAGCTATTACCTTCCAAATATCATCTACTACTCCAAATAGGAGTCCTGGTGTGGTGATTTAGGATAAGCACTGGACTGCTGCTACCTGAAAGGTGGAAGGTTCAAACCTACCAGTCATTTCTTGGAAATCCAATACTGGGTTGTTATGAGTTAGAGCCAGCTAGATGGCACTTAACAACAATAACAACTCCAAAGTAGGAGTCCTGGTGTGGCTAAGCACTGGACTGCTAACCACAAGGTCAATGGCTCAAACCCACCAGCAGCTCTTTGGAAACACTATACAGGGTCACTATGAGTTAGAACTGACTCAACATCATTAAACAACAACAACACCCCAAAGTAGGACTCTTGTATGGCTGTAGGATAAGCACTAGACTGGTAACTGCAAGATCAGCAGTTCAAACCCACCAGCAGCACTCAGAAACCCTAAACAGGATCACCATGAGTCACAATTGACTCAATGGCACACAACAATAACAACAACAACCCCAAAGTATGTGTCCTATCTCAGTCCAGCTAGTCTTCCGATTCCACATGTCTCAAGCTTGCTCTTGAACTAATGTTTCTGCGTACACTCTTCGCCAGTTTCAAACCCTCTTCTCCGCCAACTAGATCCTATCCAGCCTGGTTCCAGCTTCTCTGTGGAGCTTCTTCTTCACATAATCTCCGATGATCCAGTGGTGTTAAGGGAAGTATCCAGTTTACCCTTAGATACTACCAGGTTTACTGGAATTTGAGCTAAATTCACTTTATAATCCTAACTTGAATGTCTGGGCCCTCAAATGCTATGCTGAGCTCACAATGGGTACTCAAGAGTTATTCACTGCATGGGCCTTGCATCTCCTCTCTGATTAGCCCTTCCTTTTGTTAATAAGATAAAAAAAATACTTATTGAAGAATTGCATGTCAATTTAGATCTCATTGTTTGATAAGCGTCATTGAGTGTCCCTAGTGAAAAACTCTGCCCAGTGAATTTCAACGGGTAAATGAAGAGAAGCAACAAAGAAAAAAGTTTAAAGTCAGGCCTACTGAATAGGAATCTCTGGGCATAGACCCAGGAATCTGCATCATAACAAAACTGACCTTACTCTGAATTGTGTTCACTAGACAATACAACTGGCATCTAGGAAACCCAGTTACATGTACACATTTTCAAAAAGTTTATTGCGCTTCAGGTGATACTTTACATAGCAAATTAGTTTCCACTTGTAGTTCACATACAATTTGCTCCGTAACATTGGTTATAACCCTCAAATACTGTCAGCATTCTATTGCCTCCCTAGGTTTCCTGTTTCTGTTCATCTAGTTTCCCTGCCCCTCCCTAGCTTCACATCTTTGTTGTTGTTGTTAAGTGCCCTTGAATCAGTTCCAGTTTATAGTGACCTTGTATAGGGTTTCCAAGGAGCGGCTGGGTGGGTTTGAACCACAAACTTTTTGTTAGAAGTCCAGTGCTTATCCTACATGCCACATCTGGGCTCTCATCTTCATTTCTGGGCCTATGTCACCCTTTTGGTTTCAGGAGGACAATCTTCACAGGTGTTATTGTTTGTTTTAGAATTCCATCTATTATTTGGCTGAAAGGTGGCTTCTGAAAGGTGGCTTCAGTTTCAAATTAGAAGGTTGTCTCCAGGCGATAGTCTTGAAGGGTCCTCCGGTCTCTTTCAGACTAGTAGGTCTGCACTTTTTTGGCTTTTTTAAAATTTGAATTCTGTTCTAAAATTTGTATCCCTTCTTACTAGGACCACCTAGTGTGGTCTTGGTTAGAGTGGTCTGCAGTGACAGGCAAGCACCAACCAGTTCTTCCAGCCTCAGATTAGTTCATGTGGCCCATTTGTTCTTAGGACTAATTGCTTCCTGAAGTCTTCATTTTTCTTCATTCTCTGGTGCTCCAGGTAAGAAGAAACCAATAGTTGCTTCATAGATGTCCATTTGCAAGGTTTTAAGACCCCAGATAAGGAGCTCTGGTAGTGTAGTGGTTACAAATCGGGCTGCTAATCTCACGGTCAGAGCAGTTTGAAACTACCAGCTGTTCCATGGGAGAAAGATGAGGCTTTCTGCTCCCGTAAATATTTATAGCCTTGGAAACCCTGTGCAGAGTCACTATGAATCAGAACTGACTCCACAGCACATAACAACAACAACAAGACCCCAGATGTTACTCACCAGACCAGATTGTAGAACATTGTCTTTATGATCTGTGTTTTGCCAATCGATCTAGATGTCCCCTGAGACCTTGGCCTTCAAGTCCAGTGGTTCAGTCCCAATATCGAAGTAGTTTCTTGAACTATGTCCCTTATGTGCTGGATTATATAAATTAATATACATGCAGTTTGTACACGACATACACATTTTTAATGTAGCACTTTTGTCTTGGTAGTAGAATTATTTATTTAGTAGTCTAGCTCGTCAGCTAGACAGTGAATTACTTGAGGGTGAAACCTTCAAATAGGTCTCATTTCATCCAATTACACAATGTTTGCTGAGATGAAATCTAAGGAACTTTTCCTTAATAACAACAATAACATGATAGAATATAAATTTCCTAGATGTTACATTACCTGGAGCTGCCCTATCCTGTTGTCTCTGGGCTATCTGATAAGGTTCTGTCTTGGTGGGGAGACAAATCAAACCTTACGTTATAGCTGTAGCTGTAAAGCAAGTTTTCCGTTTCTACTTACATCTAATTGTGCACAGTAGCTAGTTTTTGATTTGGTGACTTCTAGCATTGTAGGAAAACTAGCTATGGTCTTTTTTATTTCTTTCTACACAAAATTGTTAGTATCCTGCAGTTGTGTAATTGTTGTTTCATATTAAAACAATAGCAAATATTTGTAAAAAAAAAAAAAATCTAAGGAACTTTTGGATAAAATTCTCCTTTTGACTGTTAGTGTTGGACAATCCAAAAACCACTGGTTGCGTCATTTAAATTGGTGAATTGCATGGCTCTGATAATGTAGCGGTTACAAGTTAGGCTGCTAACCTCAAGGTCAGCAGTTCAAAACTACCAGTGGTTCCGCAGGAGAAAGATAAGGCTTTCTGCTCCCATAAAGATTTACAGCCTTGGAAACCTATGCAGGGTCACTATGAGTTGGAACCGACTCCATGGCACATAACCACTACCAACCACCACCAAGCCTAGGTGTAAATGCCAGTGGAGTTATCACAGTGTATTTTTTGTCACTGAAAACCGAAACAAGATGCAATAAATTCTCAAGATTTAACATACTCACAGGATGAGCCACAATGCATTGCTTTACATGTGTCAAACCAGCAAACAACTTTGAAGGCAAGAGGCAAGAACTTGAACTGCTTATGATAACTTTATCATCAATGATGCGATCCAACTGAGTAAAAGTCTTCTTCTTCAGTTCTAGGTTTTCTGGAACACATTCCTGAAAAAGACACATGCAAATTACTACTCATTATCACTTAATTCAGTAAGGCACCAACTAAAGCACTTCAAGCTTGATTCATTGCTAAAACGAAACAGTGAGAAAACCACCAGCAAAATTTAAGAGCAGGAAAAGATGCCCAAAATATGACAGAAGTGTGGTAAGTGTGGAATCCGGATGATGAGTACATGGGAGTCTATTGTATTCTCTCATATGTAGCTATGAAAATTCTCATGATAAAAATGCCTGCCAACTACATGGGGGTGGATTCTACAAACAGAATACACAACAGCACGTCAGGGAAAGTGCTATCAACATCAGTAATCATTTATTTTCTCTATCTGTTCTGGTCATCAGATCAACTTATCTTCAAGGAAAAATCTTACCTTCTTGAAATGAGCAAACGTTTACATCCATAATTCCCACAAGGCTTCTTGAGAATCCATTTCTAATTGGAGTCTTTTGAAAAAGATCTTTGTTTCTAAACATCTAAAGTTACTTTTAAGGGGACGGGCATAAAGAACAAATTTAGATTAAAAACTGCAGGTAACAACCTTTCTGAATTTTAATTACTGGAAAAGCTTGGAGTGGGAATGGGATGACGGTCTCAAAATGCTGGATCGCCCACACATGAGCTATTTTCTTAGGAATGTGAGGACAAAGTGGGCTGCCCTGGTGTGCGGAAGTGGAACAGGTGAAGGATACTTGAGCTGCTCTAATGCTTTAGAAACACTAGTGGTGTCTTTCTCCTCCTGTCACCTACACCTCTGGGAAATCACACAAGGGGTCACTTCTACCCAACACAGATCCTTGCTTACCCAGATGCAAAAAGCACACCAGGTTAGCAGAATGAACTTGCAACGTCAACCGGTGCTTTCAGTACAATGATTCTCAGCATGATCCAATACCCACCTGCATGAACATCAACTAGGATGCTTGTTAAAAAAGCAAATTCTCAGACCCACATCTCAGACCAGTGGAATCAGAATCTCTGGGAGTGGGGCCCAGGAATCTGCATTTCTAACAAGCATCCTGAAGATTCCTGCTCTTATTAAAGTTGGGGAACCACTCCTCTGAGATGTGGGTCCAAAGTGCAGTTTATTGTGCTAGTGTGTTACAAATCCATCTTCACGAATCTCCTCTCAATGCTAAGGCCAGGGGGACCTCCCCTCCCCCACTCAAGTATATCAACCAAGTAGCCTGAAGGCTAATGAGGAGGATACTGAGAACATTGTTGTTGTTGTTGTTGTTCAGCGCTGTTGAGTCTGCTCCAACTCATAGTGACCCTGTATAGGATTTCTAAAGAGCAACTGGTGAGTTTGAACCGCCAGCCTCATGGTTCAAACTGACCTTGTGGTTTAGTGCTTATCCTGCAGCGCCACACCAGGACACCATTAAGGATAGTGTTGTTGTTGTTGTTAAGTACTGTGGAGTCGGTTCCGACTCATAGCGACCCTGTATAGGGTTTCCGAGGCTGTAAATCTTTACAGGGAGCAAAAAGCCTCATCTTTCTCCTGCGGGACAGCTGGTAGTTTTAAACTGCCGACCTTGAGGTTAGCAGCCCAAATCGTAACCACTACGCTACCAGAACTCCATGATGACAATTTCATGGTCTTTAACTGACTCCATGCACATACCCACCAACAACAACAACCCTATGATATTCATGATCACACCTGGCTAATTTCACTGAAATTACAGACCACTTAAGTTAATGAAAATAAAATAAATACTAGTACATAATCAGAAGTGTACAAAAGTAGACATTCAATGCTGAGGTACTATTGGTAATTATGTCAAAATCATCTCTCAATAATAAAGAAAATATTTTCAAGTTTGATTTAATAATATCTGATAGTTCATAATAACATCTAATACATTGCAATAAGCTGTATAAATATTATGACATTAATTCTATTTCTATATTATCTACAGAATGCTTTTAGAGGGGAGCCATCAAGGCAAGCAATCAAGTCCCTTTGGGACAAACCCCCTCCCAAGACTGAAATTCAAAGGGGACACATGAGCAGGCATGTAAGCTTTCTGGCAACCATGTTGGTGAGTGGAAGTGGGGGAAAGGCAGAAATGAATGGGCTGAGTTCATCCACACTCCACAGACTCCTGTTGACCTGGAGATGAAAGAAAGAAGAAGAAGGGCTGCTTGGTCCAAAGTGTGGTGAGACCTGGGAACTCCTGAGCCCATGGACAAGGACATAGCCACAGAGGGCTAGAACTGAGAGTGAAGCATCCAGCTGATATGAAGTGAAGGGAGACACACAAGAATTCCAAAACTTGCAGATAGTACCCATTTGACCTAGCTTTATTGGTTTGATGATCAGAGCTAGACTAGAGGAAGATAAAAAATTTATCATAAAAGAAATAGTGTAAATTTCTACAATTTGATGAACTTGACCTATACTTATGGATGTAGTAGCTCAAAATACCAACTGAGAGGGAAGGAATCTTCACATCAAGTATCAATCCTATCCCCTCTGTACACAGGATTGATAGGGATGGGCAACTTAGACACTGGCTACCTAAAAAGGGGGTGGGGAGGCAATAAAGGCAGAAAGTGACTGGCTTGCAAGTTTTCAAGAAGGAGTTTAGTTTCAGAGTGTGCAGGGGCAGGCAGAACCCTTACTGAATAGTTTTCATCATGTCTAGATGGGTCTGGTGAAAGAACGTGGGATAAGATTCTCATGATTCAATAGTAAATAATTGTTATCATGACTAATTGTTATCGTCACAACTGTAAAGGTAGAAGTTTTGTAACAAAAGTGGGGGAGTAGTTAGTCTTACATTCCAGGAACAAAGAGCCCTAAGACCATCAAGAGAAAAGAACACAAGTGGAATGTGGGACCCTATCCAGGGAAACACTGACACCAGATATGGAGGCAGAGATGATGACATGGAGAGACAGAGCAGCTGAGGACTCCAGATTCATGGAAAGAGAAAGGCTGTGTGCTGGCAACCAGGAGGCAACCTTGCAGAATATGCCCTTTGGTTGTTTAAATGACTACATATTCCTGAGTGGTTTTTTGTACATTCAAAAAAAACCAAACAAACAGAGGGAATAGAAGTAAATACTGTTGAATGATGATGTGTGGAGGGGATTGTAATCATTGCAATGAAATGAAATACAATATGATGAGCGTAAAACCAATGTCCTCCCATGTAAACTATCACTCAATTCACAATAAAAACTTAAAAAAAAAAAGATATGCAAGCAGTTGGGGGTGGAGGGGTGGAGATGTTTTTAGAAATCTTTTACTCTAATGGTAGTGCATCAATATTATTCTTGTTTATACTGTTTAAAATATTACCAAATCATGTAACATTTTATTAAGAGCAAATGGTCATATAAGTATCACATCTCAAAGACAGAAAAAAAAATGGAGACATTTAAGAACTGGAAAGCCCATTGTTCTAAAACCCTTTATCAAAAAAAGAAAGAAAGAAAAGTTACAGTACCTGGCTAGTTGTATTGAGTAATTTCTGGATCAGTTAAGTCTGTAAGTTGGGTTAAGTTTAAATGAAGCCTTGTAGTAAAGCCAGAGACTAAGAATGATGCTGATACAGTTTAAGTTAATAAAAGAGCCCTTGTGAATAGTCTCATTGTGAGCCTGTCATAGAGAGTCCCCTTGAAATTCTAGCCTTCTTCAGATCATTTGATTATCAAAGAGGCAAGAAAACTTGAACCAGAGGAAACCCAAACCTGCTACAATTATGTAGCAGGTTTTTTATGTAAGGATTTTTTTATGGCACATTTGCTTGAAGTTTTGTTGTTGTTACTGTTGTTGTTGTTGTTTTACTAGTAACTCAACAGTGTTCAGTTTGCTGGTCTAGGGTTATAATGCCTCTGTCTGGATCAACCCTTGAATTCATTCTTTTGCTATTCATTAGGGAGCCAGTACTCCTTGTGTGAGAAAGGGAATCTGAAACACCACTAATCAGCACCTTCACCACTTGGTTACAAAGCCAAAAGAGGCTGCAATCATTCTCTTTGCCCTACAGGAACTGGAAGGAAAGGCATGGAAGAACATAAAATAGTGAAGTAACTGAGAAGCTCAGTGCAAAGTAGCCTTGCGCTCTCTAAACCCCAGTATGATGATCCGGTGAAAATCCACTCTACACATTCTTAACTAAACTGTGTCTTTCAGGGTCCTTTCTGGAGAAAGTCATTAAATGGGAGGCTGGGCACTACAAAAAGCAAACCCCCTTCCAAGACTAAGACTCAGTGGGAATACACGCTGTGATTGGTGACCACGCTCGACACCGATAAGGGGAAGTGAGGGAAAAACAGCAATGAAGTG